AAACAAGCTAATAACAAACATTTCGGAGCAAGACTTTGCCTGTAAACATAGATAGTTTCTTTTTTCTAGCTTTCTTCTTTTTTTCAGTTAATGGAGCGCAAAGGGTTTGCATAAAATCAGCTGATGCTGAAGCTGGATATGATTATTATCGATTATTATCAATTTTATCGATAATCTTCATATCTGGATTCACAAGAGATGAATTCACAGGAGAGCTGAAAAAAGACGGCCTACGATTCTGTATGTTCCAAGCTTTCGAATGGTATGTCGACTGATGAGACATAAAGCTTTTCTGAGTCAAAAAAGTCTCTGTTGGATGACATTTTAAAGCCTAAGCATTGAGAAAATCTTCATATTGCACCTCTCTACTACTTATTTTCCTTTTTTGACTCCTTCTCCCGTTAGGCATGTAAGCTTGCGTCAGCATTTATCTTAAAAGTCAGTTACCCCTTCCACTTTTCTAGGTGGGAAATAGCCAAAACCCTCTCACCTGGAGGGGACTCTACTCTCAACGCACCTATGCTTTCCAGTGATGTGCAGAATCTGTATCGAGAAAGATAATTTGATGGAACAAAGTTGTTCGAAAATTAGGCCTAGAAAAACATTTTAAACAACTTCTTACATTATATATATTAAGATGACAGAACGTTTCAGAATTATAGGATGTGCTGGTGTAGAGTGGTCTTCTAAAGCTTCCTGTTTGTGGAGCTCTCTTTTCCCTCGATTCAAACAGCACCGCTCGATAATGTATCTGAGTGTTAAGCAAGGAACGCCATTGCGCGAGGTCGTATGTTCTATATATTAGGGTGAACGGTGAAAAATGGGACAGCTTGATTTCTATTACATTTTAAGATTTTTTGTCCTCACCAATAACAAGCAGGCTGCAACTCAAACGTCGCTTACATAACCGGCCTTCGCCTATTATTCTGGCAACGCGTTACCGCTCCTCTCTATAACCGTATACGCGCGGCGTCGTGAAAAACTCCGACAGGATTTTTTGAGCAACTCTCAAACTTGCACTGCTATACCGTAAAGTCGTAAAGCAAATGACATACCATTCGAAAGAGGTTTTCATGCTCTTCTAAACGATATGTTAAATGCCTAAGATTTCTTTTCAATTTCAGGAAAAATTGCGAAAAAACCTGGAAAATAGCTATTTTTGGCGCAACAAAAAACCAAAAAATTATGTTTTGCCCTATATTTTCCAAAAATAGACAAAATCTGAGGCAAGCTGCACATGGATGGACAGAGCGTAAGAAGCTCTATCAGATGGTACCTAGAAAACATGCGTTCACCTGGAAGGAATTGAATAACGCGTATCTTTGTTCTCGAAGCTGCTAATGGCCATATCTCCTGACTTTGAACGTTGAGGCCACCAAGCCGTCGTGGGTTTGGTGACTGTCCCACCACCCACTCCAGTAGTAGAACTTTGGGTGGTCTCACATGTTTCACTGCGCAGATACTGCTCAAAGTTCATAATTTGTCGAAGTGACTAACTTTACATTTCAGCAAGCATAAAGATTATTAATTATGCAAATGACCTTATATAGGTATTATCTGAAAGAGAATAACATATTCTAACATCTGTCAAAATTGGAATGTCTAATCACTTCTCTTTCTTGAGAAACTTCCAGTTATTTCGTAAGTGTCCCATTTTTTACCGTTCACCCTAATATTACGATTGTCAATTGAGTTCTTAAACATTAATCGATTTTGCAACGGTTTAAGGCATCAAACGCCTAGTCCATCTCGTGTGTTTAACTCCCCTATTGTGAGCGCAGTCCAGCGTCCAAGCCAACCTTGACTTACCAAGAGCTCCACAGAAGAGCACATAAAAAGCTCCGGTCGCCTACAGAACATGATGTAAATGCCCGGCATGTTCGACGTTCCAACTGTTAAGCCACACCGTTTCGGGAGCAATCCCCTATCCTCCCATTTGTTCACGCAATTTTGCAAGCTGCAAGCTTTAATGTTCCGTTATTTCGAAGTGTTTTTTGATACTGTCTTGTGTTCACTGAAACAATATTATTCTCCAACTGCGTTTGCGACATCGTTCTAATTGCATTGGCCACCTTGTCGGATATGAACGGCAAGAACAAGTAACGCGTTTTCGACTTCGGTTGCTAATGTTCATGCGTGTTCATCTGGAAGTTTTCCGGTTGCCTCGGGTAACCGTTGTTGAAAATAATGACACGTGCATGACGTTTCCAAAAACTTAAGCCATTCACTTTCAACGCTGCTTCCGCTGCTCGCTGTGTTAAACATGTTGCGGGTTACCGCGCCTTAGACGGCAATCGGATGGGCACAGGTCGCGTATATAATGATCTTCTTGCTGCTCTCTTTTCGATGCCATTAACTGTATACACCGTCATCAGCCAATAACTCTTGTGTTAAAAAATTTAGCCAATCGTGTGGTTCCTCCATGGTTAAGCAAATGTAATGCGATTGTTTATCAAGGAATCCGAAGCAGTCGTCCGTCTCGAACGGAGTCGATGTAACAATGGCTCGTTCTGATGGAAGTGATTGACACAATTTCAGGCCTCTGAAGACGGCTTTTCGCCGACACGTAAGGCTCAATAAATAGATCTGGTAAAAATTTGTTTGGAGAAGAAAGTCAAACGATATTCAATCATGCTAAGGTTTGAAGAAAGGAGAACTTATGAACTGTTTAGACTGTTTTTGTCTTTTCGGCCATCTTTCTCTTTTTTGTATTTTTGGAGTCATGTTACTACTTTACTATTTAGGTAAAGCTCTAAAAAGGCAAAATTATTTCCAAATAAATCTCGCACAGTATTTTGAACCTTAGGCTTATAAAATCAAGTAGCATGATTGTCATCCAGTAAAGCTCGACTGTAATAACACGTTGCAAAATCTTCCCAAAGAGCTAGGAGCTCACTCAAAATTCAAATCAACGATGCGCAATTGTCATAATGATTCGATGGCTCGTCCACCAGTGATCATTGAGTGACTCTTGAAGCCTTGTAAACTATGATTAGGTAAGACGAAGGAGGCTAACAAGGGAAGCATGTTTGGTCGAAGTAGCCTTTTTAGATGGGATGTACATATACCGTATTAAAGGTCAAAAAATTTTGATTTGGGACCTTCCTTATCTGCGTAACGTTCATGGACGAGGAGTTATGAGTGCTTATCGGTGCAAAAAATTTATTGTGCAAGTAGGACAAAAATAGCTGTAAGACTTTTTCTAGCTCTTCAATGGAGCAGCAATAATTATCAAAGCGCTTTATTCAACAATATTCAAAAATAAAAATATTTCACACTTGCTTGCATTGTTTGAAGGCTGGTAAGATTTGAACAGCTCAACGTATCCAAAATGCACATTCAGTTCCTGCTCCAAAAACGCTCATATCCTCGTTCGTAACGTTCTGCAAATATGGAAGGCAGATTTGAAATCAGCGTTTTTGCCCTTCAGTATGGTGTATACCCCAATCAAAAAAGCTACTTCGACTAAACAAGCTTCCCTTATAAGTAAACAAGTAAAATCTGAGTAGTGGTAAGTGCAGATTTGCCTTTGAAAACGATTCCGTAAGAATTAAGAAGCCTCTCGAGAAAGTACGACAATATTATTTGAAAAATCAAGATAGATTTCAACTCTAGCTATCCTAGGGAATTCACTTTGAGAGCATAATGGAAAGCTGAGGAAGAAATAATAATTGAGGTAGATTTTAACCTCAATTATTATTTGTTCCGTATTCATCAATCCAAGGTAGGTTGATGACGGGTTTATGCGTCGCGAGGTTGATTCTCAAGGTAGACTTGGAAGCAGTTGCTCGGCAAATCTTAACCTAGTCAAATTCTCTCTTAATCTGGGGTTATCTCCAATGCGCTGATCCCGAAAATCCACCTGAGAGAGCTTGGAAATGGCAACAACCGTTTTCCAATGTTCTTCGCTTTGAAATCGTACAAGTGAAGCAAGCTGAAGACCCAATGGTTATAGTATTGTGGTGGGCAGCCTTTAACGTTGAGAGGAGAATTGTCAACTTATCCGAGCGCGCTTAAGATTGTATGCGCCTGTAAGGTTGAAAGCATTTTTCTTGGTAGGAAAGGCATGCTCTGCGACCAGGATTGCGCTTTTCTCCTACTTAGGTGATAAGGACCTACTGCGTCAAAGTCCTGAGTTGTTCAATTTTGCCGATCCACTGCCTTTATCCAATGAAAAAACTTCTTTGCTAATTCCTTGCAGTCATGTTGTAAATACAGGTTATAAGCCAAGCCTTAAGGTTAAAATCTGTCTTAGCCCAGTAAAGGTAGATTTTAGTCTCAAGAGTTCTTTGATAAAGGCGGTTGCTGAAATGCTAACAACAGGCAGGAAGTCAGAACTTAGCCTAGCCATACCAAACAAGCTGTATATCATCGGACTCGTCTTAATACGCTGATTTCAAATACGTTTATAATCTGCCAAGCGACTATCTAGGAGGAGTTATGAGCGTTTGAATGTGCTATTTGTTAAGTGTTCCGTGGCGCATGTTCCACGAAATAGGTCTCAAAAACACTTATTTAGGTTCTTGGTGAATGTGCTCCTTCCTTGTAATTATATCAACCATAGCACTGTAAATCTGCGCCATCAGCCTGCATTTCAAGGAAATATATTCGTTAAATCTCAAAAAATTTCCCATATTCAAAAGCTCATAACTCCTCTCAGATAGTCGCTTGGCAAATGGAAAACATATTTGAAATCAGCGTTCTAAGGCGGTCAGATGGTATACAGCTTGTTTGGAATGGCTGGGTTAAGTTCTGACCATTCCCTGGTAAGGTAATATTGATTCACGAATAAAGAAATGATTTTCCTTGCTGTTTCTTTCACAAGTTTCCAATTTGATTTCCAAACATATACAACTAGTTAACCGTAAAGAAGAGGTATTGTCCCATCTGACCATTTGCAAAAAACTTTTAAACATGTTCGAACCATATAATAACGAAGAAAACTCTCTGTTGCATCCCATGAACAAAATCTTAAAGATAGCATTATTTTCATGTTATAGACTTATTACAATGACAAAGCAAAGCCACATAGTGTCGTCTGGAACAACATTGAGTCATTGATGACAGTTACTAAACCAGTTGTTGGCTATGGACAAGAAGGCTGTAAGAAGATTTTACTTTCTGTTACATAAGAACACGTTGAAGTTGCAGTAGCTGTTTACTACGCATTGAAAGACTACCCTGTGGTTAATATGACCGGTTTTGTAATTGGATCGCAATCGCCATGGATAGAAGTGCTGGCACTTCAAAGTGGTGCTGCTAAGGTTATTACTCTTCCTACAATAATTTTTTGTTGAAGGCAAAGGCTCGGCAAAATGGACCTTTGTCAGAGTCGATAGTTTTAGGTAGTGGATCATCCAGGTACATAGGTCAAATCTTACCCTCCGATTTATGCGCTGAGTCGTGAAAACTCCAAAAGTTCAGATTTCCACCAATGACGCCCACACAATGGAAGTGGGCGGGGCTAGTAGAGTTTTGAAGAGCTTTTTCGAAACTTAGCGCATGAAGTGGAGGGATAGGGTTGGGGCTACAATTTACGGTCTACTATCTAAAACTACCAAAATCTGACAGGGATCCATTTTGCCGAGCCACTGCCTTTAGATACTATTTACATGGTACCCACTGTTTCGATGGCGTCAGCCTGTTCCTGGCTGAAAAATTGAATTACTAACTTTGTATTCTTGGCAGACTCTTTCACACGGTCATTTAAGCACATACATTGTTCAAGGTACTTACTGTAGAATACCAAGAAACAGAAATTGTTGGAACAAAGAAAATCGAGTATATTCATCCTATCGAATTCGCAAAAGAATGGAGCAAGTAAGTTTCAGTTTCCTTGTAAGGATTGATGTCTTTTTGTGTCGAGATCATGTCATATATCTAGGAGAAACGAAAGTTATGATTTCTCAATTTCGTTCTCTTCTATCGAGCACAGTGGCTTAGGAAGGTAATAATATATTGCAACAACTTTCCTTAATGCCCATACACATTTTAAGGTACGGTGATCCAATTGATCCATTTGGTGATTTGAAGGAGGTACAGAAGGTGTTGTGCCTACTCAAGCAAGGAGGTAGCAGACTATTATGTTAACAACTGGATAGTGATCCAAGCGTTATTCGGGCTAACTGTCAGCATTAATATGAAAGTGGGGACTAGAATGTGAATCCCAAAAGGTTTAAGGACGAGTTTGTGTTTTCTTTGAACCTGCCTCTTACGTTCCCTTTCCCATCTCACCCATAGGTGCGATAGGGGGAGCCGGGCTCTCCCCAGGTGAAGGGGGTCTCGGCTGTTCCCGACCTTCCAGGGTGAAGGGGGTATGTGAGTCTAGGGGGGGGGGAGGAAGAGAGAAAAGGTAAAAAAGCGTGGTATAAAGGGCTCTAATTTGTACCTTATTTAAGCACAAATTGAAAAAAATTCTAAAAATTTTAAAAGAAATTAAAAATCTTTAAAAAATTGACTTTATGAAGATCTGCGCTCCTGTTTCATTGCATCAACAAAAAACGAAAGCAATAAGGTTTATCCCAAAAGATGTACAAGTTAGGAACAACTTCAATTCCTGCACATCATCATTAATAATATCACTATCGCTAACGTCAGAGACAACAAGTTCGCTGCCTGAAAAATCTTCTTCTTCCTCCAAAAGGTCATCGGAGTAGAACTAGAATTGCGTGCAAAAGCGTTCTGAGTCGAAAATGGATTTGAAACTTTTTTCTTCTTCTAACAAGAAAAGGAAGGTTGGTCGAAGTGGCCTTTTGAAATGAGGTGTATACTGCCTTGTAGAGCTTGGAACACTGATTCCAAATCTACCTCTGCTATCTGCTGCAGGCTTCTGGGCGAGGAGTTATGAAGGTTTTTGTGAGTAAAAATCTGAATGCAAGAGTAGGCTAAAATCAGTCGTGACATTTTTTATAGGGCTTAATAGGTAGCCGGGTCACTTGGTGCAACAAAGATCTTGATTCAAATGTACCAACTCGCTGCTGCCTCATCTGAACATTGGGAAAAGGGTTACGACTGATTTTACTCTATTTTTGCATTCAGATTTTTACTCACAAAAACTCTCATAACTTCTCGCCCAGAAGCCCGCAGCAGATAGAAAAGGTAGATCTGGAATCAACGTTCCAAGCTCTACAAGGCTGTAATCATCTTATTCCAAAAGGCCACTTCGACCAACCTTCCTTCCCTTGTAAGTGCTTTTGTGATTCTTTTCCTGGCCCTCTGGTAGCACCAGGAAAGTTAGCAGGTAGGTGACCAGTTTCTCATACCATCTTTTAGGAAATTTCAAAAAGTCATACGGTAACAGCCTGTCTGGACCACTTATACCAATCCTTCAAATGAAGTTTTTAGATAACAATATGTTTAGTAGGAGGTTGACAACCTAAGTAATTGCTTAGATGCTCCATCGTTGTACGACTCCTGCGTTGTGTTCTGATAACAGAGTAGATAGAAAATTTCTTTCTCCACCTCTACCGTGCTAGTCGGAATGGAAACTAGCTTTGCCAGTAAGTCCATCAAATTTTTGCGGTAAGTAATGGGAAAAGAGCCAGATCGCATATGCTTTTGCAACACGGGAGGGAAATAGTGCATACTTTTTTGGGCCTTGTCGAACTCTGGCTTCACCTCCTCTGGCATACATCCAGTTAGCTGATGAGAAAGCTGCTGAACTTCTTCTTTAACAGCATCTGCGGAATAGCCGAAAAAAAGTAGATACTATGCTGCGTTGTTTTATTTTTCAATATCATAGGTCGTAAAGTCACAAGGAGATTATTTTCCAAAGCATAAAGCACAGTGTTGGGTTCGCACTCCAGTCGGGATTTAAGAGCAGTAGCTATGCTGTACTAACACCTTCCTTTTGTTCATATCCATGTTTGTGAATTTAGCAGTTTTCAATTTTCTCATTGAAACTAGGCAAGCTTGGATTCCTTATGTAGGAAATCAGAAAGTTTCGCTCAATTGTCAACTCTGTATCCATGTCGACAACATTTTCGTCGGCGTAAAATTCTCCTTCCGCCTCGCTGTGGAACTGGAACACGTGCGAGTCACCTACGATTTTGTAAAGTATTATAAGTAGTCCTGCCGTTTCCTCTTCAAACCTTTCCAAAACATTGAAGGATATTTTAATAACATGTTATTCTTCTGAATGTCTCAAAGTTTTTGATTCATTGAAACCAACCATTCTCTACAAATTAGGTAAGGTGAGTCTAGAGCGTTCTCACGAAAGTGACTTTCTTCAGCACTATTACAGAGTATAGATTCCAGAAATGGGCGAATTTTTGTGTGAAAATGTGGAAATTCACCAATCTCCCATAAATTTTGAGTGTGTTAATAATGATGGCATAACTGTCAATCAAAAGCGCATTTTTTACCAAAAAACATGAAGATATAACAACGTAAGCACGCTTAAATAGACGCGTTCGCTCACGTTCCCGTTAGTGCTGATAACGATGTCAATCCACAGCACATTTTTTACTCTTAACTTGCTCCACCTCGCTCTTATTAGGTCGTCTCAAAAGTTTTTGCGCACGATTATCAAAAATTCATAATTTCTGATTTTTCCAACCGATTTGACTGCTTTCGCCTTTATGTGAAAGGGTAAGTCATGCTTTTTATAAAGACATCTCAGCTGCTTAGTAATGGTCATCTGTTGCATAGATAGGAGCGATAGAAGAAAATTGGTCAAAATTTGAATTTTCTGTGTAGGGTCATAAAAAATCGGAGACTTGCAACAAAAATCGGAGCAGTCAGTATTGTAGGTTCTTTCATCAGCTCTTTCTAATAGTGCAAAGTTTGCGCCAATTGAGAGTCTCTATGAAAATTTTAATTTCCTTGAAAAATGCCAAAATAAGCCAAATTCGCCCTTTCGTATTGCTTGCTTGAGAATCATAACTTTTCATAGAGACCATCAATCAGCGCAAACTTTGCACTGTTGGAAAGAGCTGGTGAAAGAACCTACAATACTGACTGCTCCGATTTTTGTTGCAAGTCTCCGATTTTTTATGACCCTACACAGAAAATTCAAATTTTAACCAATTTTCTTCTATCGCTCTTATCTAGGCAACAGATGATCATTAAGAAGCAGATAAGATGTCATTACAAAGAGCATGACTTACCTTTTACATAAAAGTGAAGGCAGTCAAATCGGCTGGAAAAATCAGAAGTTAGGATTTTTTGAAAATCGTGCGCAAAAAGTTTCGGGACGACCTATACAATGTGTTGGCTTTTATGGGTCACGGAGCTAATGATTTTCAAAGCCGAGAAGCTGAGATCATGGAGAATCGACGTAGACTGTCGACTTTTTTCTAGGTCTTCTGTGCCGCGAGGTTTGAGGGATTTTATGTACTTCAAAAATTAACTGATTTTGGGTCCTCACTTTTTGCTCTCCAAATGAATGCTACGAGAAAGTCGACGGTCTACTTTTGTTAATGAAGACTTGTTCTTTAAAACAGATAGATAATCAGCAGTGATTAGTCTTCGTTTGGCAGAAATCTGCTGTTGAAAATGACCATGTTTTCAGATAAAATGCGGTGTGTCTCTCGGTAGATGGGGCTAGAAAGAGGTCGACGGTCTAGGTCGAATCCCCTTTTCTGAGCTTTCGAATGGTATATAGGTTGCTGGGCGAAAAAACTAACCAGTTTTCAAAAATGGGGTGCAGATATTTACTATTAGCTTGCTCCACCCAGCTCCACCAATGTATTGGCTTTTATCGGTTACCGGAGCAAATGATATTTAGAGCCGGGGAGCAAAAAAGCCCTAACATGCTTTATACCATTCAAAAGCTGAGATCATGGAGAATCGACGTATCGGCTTTTTTCTAGGTCTTCCGTGCCGTGAGATATGAGGGATTTTATGTACCCCAAAAACCTGCTTTTTTGTCCTCACTTTCTGCTCTCCAAATGAATGCTACGAGGATAAATAGATAATATAAATAAACATAAATACCTTTATGAGTGTACTTGTTGTTTAAGGTACTTAGCCTGCAGAACCTTTTAATAACGATTTTCATCATATTCTCAAAGTACAATTCCAATATCTCAGCCCAGGTGAAGGGGGTCATCGGGAGTTTGGCCTTAAAGTGAAGGGGGTAAGATCCATCACTCCCCATATCGCAACTATGCTAAGGGGAAACTTTGGTATGAAAAATTTCCCTCCCAGGGCATAATTCGTAGGAGGCCCTAAACCCCCACATATTATATATCATCTGAAAGCTCTGATGAAAAGAATCTAAATTATAAAGTCGCAACACGATTCATGCCGTTCTGGAGAAGTTGTGAGCTGTTGATGTTCAAAAAGCGCTTTTTTATCTGCTTTTTTAAGACCCCTGGATCTCGGCACTGTTTCAGTGGATCGGTACGTCTAAGATATGTTCGCATAAAGCAAACCTTACTCTACAAAACCTGTAAAGTCGCAACATCATACACTTTCATTTTCAAAATTTAGATGAGTTTAACTGTTAACTGTCAAAAAACACGCAAAAATGGCGTAAATTTTTAATTCTGGTTTTCGACCTATCTCTCAAATCGACTCGATTTTTTCACTATCTGATAAAGCACCATTTACTCTTCAAAACCTTTGAAGTAGCAGTTGCTCACATCTTCAACCGCAAGATTTAGAAAGGTGGAAACTTTGCATAATCTATCGTTGTTTTATTATTCGAAATTCTGGTTCTCGGCAATTACTGCCTGGATCGACCTAATTCCTTCGCATTACGTTATAGCAAGACATACTTGATGAAATCTGTAAAGTCTCGCTGAGCTTCACTTCAAAACACACCATTTACTAAACACGTTTATTTTGACTATATTAAGTCATTTCAAAAGTTCGTTCGCATCATTCTCTAAAAATCGTAACTCTCTGTTATCTTTGCCTGGGATAATTTTTTCTAGATGAAGAGATCATGTAGTTTCTAACTGTGGCTTAAATTTGTTCTACCAAGCCCAAGTCGCAGAGTTAAAAATGAAAAAAGAAGACCACTCAAATATTGCTAATTTCAAAAAAGCTCACCAAAAAACTTATGTTACAAAAAATACCGAAACAAACACAACATATGATTTATGTTCTCGTCTTTCTAGCTAG